CTGTTTCTGGCTAGCACTAACTTTCGGCACAGTCATCGCCGATGTGCCACCTGGCGTCCCCCTTCTGCATCTCAAGCCTGGACTCAGATTGATCACATCGCGATCAGCTACCGCTGGCGCGGTTGTGTACAAGACTGCCGCTCCTTTTGGAGTACCTATCTGGAATCTGATCATGCTCTGGTCTGCGCCAATCTTACCTTACTTTTCAGTGGACAACGAAGTGACCGCCACCACAGGATTGATGTTAGCAAGCTGGCTGCAACTTCTGTTGCTAGTAAGTACCGAGCCGAGCTAGCTTCTAGGCTAGCCACTATTCCACCGAAAAGTATAGATGAGCATTGGTTGCAATTGCATGACGCCATGAAAATGGCGGGTCAAGTCAGCTGTGGGATTGCGAAACGTCCCGCTTACAAGCACTGGGTTTCTTCTGGTTCCTTACAACTGATTGAAGCCCGTCGGTCTACTCCGGGTGACCGTGAGTTTGACCACAGACGAAGGTTGTTACGTACTGAAATTGGGCAAAGCTTGCGTAAGGACCGAGAAACCTGGTGGTCGGAGCGTGCCAGTGAGTTGGAAGCAGCAGCTGCATCTGGTAATTACCGGAAGCTCTTCCAACTCATCCGAGCCACCGGCAGCAAGAAGTCTGGTGTCAGCGAAACAATCTGCGAGGATGACGGAACGCCAATCACTAACATCCATCGACGTCTTGGACGATGGGCAGAATTCTTTGAAGGGCAGTTCAACTGGCCTGCTGCTCCGGCAACATCGGTCAGACTGTCCTGCCCTCCTTGGCCGGTGACGACTGATCCACCAAATGAGGCGGAAGTCCGCAAGGAACTCCAACTCTTGAAACGTTACAAATCACCAGGCCCAGACGACTTACCCCCGGCTCTTTTTAAAGATGGTGGTGACTTTCTGACTAAAGGACTGACGACGTTGTTTACAAAGATCTGGGAACTAGAGAGTGTACCAACGTCATGGAATGAGTCGATAGTTGTCCCTATCTTTAAAAAGGGTTCACGTTGTTCCTGTAACAACTATCGGGGGATAAGTCTACTTCCGATTGCGTCCAAGCTATTGGCTTCCGTCATACTTCGTAGGTTGTTCAGAACCCGAGAAGGATTGACTCGCGAGGAGCAGGCTGGGTTTCGTTCTGGTCGAGGATGTATTGATCATATCTTCACCCTCCGCCAAGTGTTAGAACACCGCCATACTTATCAAAGGCCAACAATCGTAGTGTTTCTTGATATCAAGGCTGCTTTCGATTCGTTGGACAGAACTGTTCTCTGGGATTGTCTATTGAAGAGGGGTGTGCCTGAGAAGTTTATTAACATCCTAAAAGCCCTATACACAAACACCTCAGGCAGAGTGAGGGCATACAACCACCTTTCTCCACTATTCCATTCAAGCAGTGGAGTTAGGCAGGGTTGCCCAATCTCACCATTCCTCTTCAACTTTGCCATCGATGACATTCTGGAAACAGCTCTGACGGATGTAAGTAATGGTGGTGTGGATCTGTTGCCTGGAGAAAGACTTCTCGACCTTGAGTATGCGGATGATATTGTCTTACTGTGCGAGAATGCCCAAGCCATGCAATCCGCACTTAATCAGTTGGCAATCAATGTCCGTAGGTATGGTATGTGCTTTGCACCTTCGAAGAGCAAAGTACTTCTACAAGACTGGCAGGATTCTAATCCTGTACTCACTCTGGATGGTGAGCAGATAGAAGTAGTCGAGAAGTTCGTGTATCTAGGTAGCTGCATAAGTGCTGGTGGTGGCGTGAGTGATGAGATCAATGCACGTATAGTGAAAGCCAGAGCGGCTTATGCCAATCTGGGCCATCTTTGGCGCCTTCGTGATGTTAGTCTGGCTGTAAAAGGTCGGATCTACAACGCGACGGTGAGAGCAGTTTTGCTCTATGCTTGTGAAACCTGGCCTCTCCGAGTTGAGGATGTTAGACGACTCTCTGTGTTCGATCATCGTTGCCTCCGAAGGATTGCTGGCATCCAGTGGCAACACCATGTCAGTAATGCAGAGGTTCGGCATCGAGTGTTCGGTCACAGAGACGATAATGAAATTGGTGTCACCATCTTGAAACACCGACTTCGATGGCTTGGACATGTTCTACGAATGTCGTCCCAGAGAATTCCTCGTCGTGCATTATTTGCCGACTCTGGGACTGGTTGGAAAAAGCGGAGAGGTGGTCAGTATATGACATGGTGTCGTGGTATGAAAGAAAGCTGCAAAGGGCTAGCTTATGTTGGTCCTTCACGACTCCCTGGTTGGGGTCCGAGAGATGGTGTAACGCAGTGGCTAGAGACGTTATCAGATATGGCTCAGAATAGAAGCCAGTGGCGATCCTGCTGTAACCTTCTTTTACTTTCTTCATAAAAAGGTGGTCGTATTCTTCCTTAACTGAAAGATCTGTTCTGATTGTACCTTTCCGTTTCCCCCACAATTGTTCTCTCTCTCTCTCTCTTCTTTTTTTTTATAATTCCCCACGTTCATTACTTTTTTTTTTCTTCTCTTTTCTCTTTCTCTTCTAATTATCACTGTTTTGTGTGGCGCATATATATTTGGTGCCCCACTGTACCAATATTTATGTATTCAAATAAAATAAATAAATAGATATTGGTACAAGTAGGCACCAAATACATATGCGCCACACAGATCTCATTTGATATGTGTGAGGGCTGTGATACTGCCCGGGTGCCCAAACCGAACCAGGTGGTTTTCTTAGGAGGCCACACCGCGAGCCTTCGACCTGAAGATCTGATCCACAAGTCAGTGGGGCATTGTAAGGAGATGCAGTCCCATGGTAGCCGGTGACCAACGATTGGTTCATACTCCATTTGTTCCTTCAGGATACTGGAGCCCATGTGCACCATTGGTTTGGGGTCCGGTTAAAGCGCCGGACATTCGCTTTTCGTCCTCTCATTTTTGTTAACAACACCCCTGCCACGAGAAGGCAGTGAGTAGGACTTCCCTGGCAGAGGCTGTATACGCGTGGCCACGTGCGAGCATTTTGGGAGGGAGAGCGGACTCTCCCCACCCTCAGCCGTACCAGGGCATTTGGAGGCACAACTATAGTATGAGAGGTTTTCATGTGATTTTAAACTGGTAAATGTAGGTCATTATAATTAGTAAGGATCGATATAAAGTGACTCTGCAATAATAACAAGGGAATAGCTTTTAGTGAAATATATCCAAATGTAAAAGAATTGAAGATAACACAACGTGCGACTTCAAGATAAAATCAGTAACAAACAGCAAAATTTTAAAATAGTACGCAAAGGAAAATACAGATAGGAAAGAACCTGCTCATGACACTCATTTTCTATTACATATGATAATTTTACAGCCCTCGAGAATAAAACCGTATAAAAGAAAATTTTCTCTAAAGTAAAAGTCACATCAGGTAAAAATGGATATTTTGTTCTTCAAATTAATATCATATCAAAATTACTCAGTTTATGAATATTTTTGATATGATTTATAAAGTAGGAGGCATCCCTACTCTGAGGGATTTTGACCATAGATGTCTTTAAAAGACTGCTTGCGTATTTTGGAACGACTAAATGAGCAGTGGTGAGTTACTAAACAAAGATGGTGAATTGATTGATGAGGTTGTAAATCATGATCGATTGAAATGTTTGAGACATGTCTGGCATCATGCCTTTCATATGCAGTGTTGCCTGATGTAGGAGTAAGTTGTAAGTAAACTAGAGGCGGTCAGACTGACACGTGTGATCAGTCTATGTAATCATTGACTATCGGTCTGGGCCATGTTTATGGATGCAGACTACCTGATTAGGTGGGGTCTGTTTGATAACAACGATCAGTTAGTGGAGACGTGATATGGTTCCTAGTTGGTTACAACGATACAGATACATTTACACTTTATCTTACTCTAGATCTTCAGTTACAGCATTCCTTCATACAAACCTCAGTCTGTCTTCTCGAAATATATTTTCAGTGTTTAGTTTTTGTCACTGCCGTTGTTACTACAAATACTGGGACTCCTTTGTCATTCGTCTGGTTGATTTCTTATTTCATTTTGATATCGTACGACAACGCACGTCTTTTCAAGACTACAATAGTCATGACTCACTTACTGGTTTATCCACATGATGTACTAAAAATTTGTTTACCATCTGATTTAGCTCGATTAATTGTGAGGGATATTAAAACCTTGTCAGAAAAAATAATACCTTTGACTGAGTAATTCCAAGTTGAGTGCCTAAAAAAATCAAGCTACAGATCTATTCTTTATGCTAAAGAGCAGCTTATTGTACTACTTAACAGTTTTTATTTGTACATTTTTATAACTCTGTAGAATGTCATCATACATTTCATCATTAAGTAACGTATATTGTTTACTTTTCATCTAAGCTGTTAAATTTAGGTGAATCAACATTATATTGGTTTCTAATAAATGTGTTTGAATACATCCAATCATGGTTGCAGTGATGTCTATAATTACACCATTGAAATGAAATGAGCCCAGTTGGTTATTATCAAACTTAGTTTTATATTATAAAACGTGGCATCAGTGCTTGACGTCACTAACTTCTGGTCTTAGCCATGTTGGTAGATGCAGACTACTTGGTTGGGGTCCGCGTGACTATCGTAACCAGTGGTTGAAGACTCTGGGTGATATGGCTCAAAATCGATCACAATGGTGTCGGTGTATTCACTCACTGTCTTCCCTTAGGCTATGAGATTGAAATCGCTTCATATGTTTCTTTATACATACTAATTCTTTCTTCCTGTACTATATCCTTATATGCAATCTCTATCTTAAATATTACCACCATTGAATTAACTACTTTATGAATTTTGTGTTCATCTTGTTGTTCTAATGAGGTATGGCAACTTGGATTGATGTATGTATATGCCTGGTCCTACGTTGTGGATGGCTGACTGAGTTTTATAACATATTTTCCAAAGTAAATGGATGTTTCATCTTTGAAATTTTATTTTAGAAATTTTCTTATTAGATGGCCACTGTGATTAATATCACAGATAAACATCATCTTGAACAAATTTTACAACAAGCAAACAATGTAACAAATGGTCCAAGCATTGTAGTAATGGATTTTTATGCTTCATGGTGTCGTCCTTGTTCAGATATAGCTCCTGTCTTTCAAGAATTAAGCATCAAGTATACAAATATGAAATTTGTTAAAATTGATGTTGATAAACTTGAAGTAAGCATTTAATGGTACTTTTTAATTTTAATATCAGTCAATCAGTCTGTCATAAGCATTGTAAAACCTGAAATACAACATGGATTATTTCATGTTGTTACACCACATCAACAAATCGAGATAAAATTGTTTCTAAACAAATTTCAAAGTAGTAACAGTATCTATAGTAATGGTACAGATTGGGTTTTGAAAAAGAAATGTAAGGGAATTTTAGGACTAACAGTCTGAGGGGAGAGGAAGTGTGAATTCACCTTCCCCATCCCGAAAGATTCTGAGCCATATCACCCAAAGTCGCTAACCACTGATTACGATAATTATACGGACACAAAGTAGATAGTCTACATCTATCTATACGGCTCAGTTGAAATGTCAATGGCTTCATTAACTGGTGTCACGTCTTGATTTGACCACTCTAGATTCCGACCTACTCGTCCAGGTAAGCGGTGACGAAGATTCGATACCCCATCAATCCATTTGCCATATTTACTAGTATCCTACAATTTTCTTTTCTAAATGGCTATTTTTCACAACCATAAAGTAGAAATGAGTGAGCTTTTGCACAGTAAACTGATCTTTTGGTCGGTAGACGGATATCTCACTTACTCCTTAGGTGACATAGTAAGTTGGGAAAGCCCAACCGGGCTTTCTGAATGCATGCCGAGATTTCATCTGATATCAACCCTCCAAGATTGATTAGACTGTCGAGATAGGTAAAAATGTCGACTCACTCAACTGATTCGCCCCGTATGGTGGTTACGTTAATCTTTGGGCATATAAACATAAGTGTTTAGCTTTTTCGAATTTTATAATTCAATTCACATAATACCGCAAGTGTTAGGTATTATATTCACTAAATTAATACTACTGGTCAAACTTCAGTCCTTCCATTAACATCATAACGCTTTGATGGGCAATATAGTTTAGAACTCATGATTTAAACGTTTATTAGTAACTATTCAGTTTTAGCATCAAGCACAACCCCGCTTTTGTGTTTCTAAAGAGGTGACATTCTGATTAAATTGAATTAGACTCCGCCGCGTAAGATTTCCTACGAGTTTCAAAGATAAGGTGTATATATAGGTTATCAGTATTTGAACATATTTGATCAAAATACTACTCGCATAGAATGAAACCACTGAATGACTATTGTCGAGTTGGTGGAATGTTGGTTTGTTAAATAAAGTGTCCGACTTTCAACTACCAGGTAGCAAGTTCGATTTCCCATCCATTTACTTCGGTTTGGGGAACTGAGTAGTATTACTAGTACTCGCATGTGAAATATAGCTAAAAGCTGAGTACACAAATCTTTACCTGGTAAAAACTGTTCAGGCTAAGCGTGAGATAAAGCCGGCAAATCGGTCATTGTGACGATGGATTTCTGTTAGCTGAGGTGGCCTAATTACTTGTTAAACATATCCAACTATCAATCACGTTGGCGTATATTGGTGACCTTGTGTTAGAAAAACACTAGCTACATGGGATCAGCTCATCAGGTTAATGATTGTTAGAATAAGCGTCGTCCTGTGGTGTACACTTCCTGATTGAGTTTGACCAGATATAATATGTGGTTGGAGATTTTAGGTTACATGACGAATAATCGGTCACAATAGTCCAAATCTATTTATCCTTCATCTTTTAAATTTCATGTTCTTATCCTCTCTTATGTTTTTTTTGTTTTTCCCCTAGAAGCATGTTTTGGTTTCTTTAGTATGAATTTTTTTAATTTCTCGGTATCTGATAGTTTGAATCAATCCACATGTTTTGCCAAACCATACACTTAGTTATGAACAAAGATGGATGATAGTAAGCAGTGAAATTCAGGATGCACGTTTCGTCCTATTTGGGACTCGTCAGCTAGATGTACCCGCATCCCAGAGTTGATGTTCACTCGAGTATTCGGATTCAGCACCGTTCGCTTCAAACTCCATCGCGTTATCCACTTAGCCACTGAGTCCTGATAGCCACTTGCTTGTGCAATGGGGTCAAATGAAAATTCACTTGATATTGTTGACTTTAATCCCATTGATGTTTAGGACTGTAATTGATCAGTCTATTTTTGGCATATGTGAATATTGTGCGGATTGTCTCGATATTTCCTTAATTCACAATCATTATGAGCCACCATCCATCTTTGCTTATAATGCTTGTGAATTGAGGCAATATCGAGGCAACCCGCACAGGATGCACATATGCCAACAAGGACTGCAATTGATCATTGCAGTCCTAAACATCAATGGGAAGGTTTAAAAAAACAATACAAAATGAACTTACACTTAATCATTATTTTATTATTTGAGTTATTTAAACACAAACATTGATACAAAGGAGCACCAAAATATGTATGTCACAAAAAAAATTGTTTGAGGGCTGGAATACTGCCCGTGTATCCAAACTGAAACGTGTGGTTTTCTTAGGAGACCTCGAGCCTTTGACCCAGAAATTTAATCTACGAGGCAGTGAGGCAACGTTAAGAGATGCGATCTCATAGTAGACAGTGACCAGAAATAAGTTGGCACGTCATTTGTCCCCTCAGAATCGTAGAGTCGATATGAGCGATTGGTTTGGAATCATGGTTTTCCAACTCCCCTAGGTGTGTAGACTGTCCTTGCCCTCTCTGCGGTTTAATCACCAATCATTCGTTTTTCATCCTCTCATATTCGAAGCGATTTTATCTTTAGTTATTTTTATTGTATGATTAAGTTATTGTATTTTTGAATTCTCCTGCTTGTAAGCTTTTCCTGAATGTATAAAGGGTTGTAGTGTCTTACCTTTCTTAAGTTACTGTTACTTTATTACTGACCCCGCTACTCGGTTCTAATTCACTTATGGTGTAGTGATAACTTCAGTTTAATTTCTTAAATACGTTGATGTACGTTCAGGATTTTGCTCTGTTTTATTTTATGAGTGATTCATAAATTTTTAATGTTTAGTTAGTTACCCACTTGCTGCTTCGGTTTGGCCACCCAGGCAGTATCCAAGCCCTCACACAAATCGAATGATTTGTGTGGCGCATATCTGTTTGGTACCTTCTTGTACCAATGTTTATGCGTTTAAACAAATAAATAAATCCGCTTGTTTCCTTTATCGTGACTATCGAGCTAGCAAGCACAGGAGAGCTGGATTCTAGACCAATATTTGTTGTGTTATTCTTGGCTGTGATCTCACTACTAGTTATCCGAAGGTTATCGGTACTAGATAAATATTTTATATGAAATAATCAACGCTTTGAATAGACCAATATAACCACTCTCTCGTAATACCGTCCGATCACATATGCTCCGAAGATAACTAACAAAAAATCTGTTTCTTTACCGTATTACCATATTTAGATAACTTTACCGATCATAGCTTCCTGCTAGGAGTTCAAGTAGTCCATCTCCAAAGGTAGTCACTAGTGAGCAGATTACTATTAGTGTTATTACTGATGTTTCTTTTCAATCTGCGTTTTTATACTTTAGGACGTTGCACAACGTTACAATGTCAGATCATTACCTACGTTTATATTTCTACGTGGAGCTGAACAAATTGATCGGATTACCGGTGGAGTTCCACAAAAGTTAAGAGACAAAGTACAAGAACTTGCTCTCTCTGGATCAGACTCTCATGAAAGTGGTTCACATAAAAGCCCACAGTCTTCTAAACAAGTACGCATCCTTTTACTTCTAATCAGTTGTCATACGGGATTAACATTTAATTTTTTTCTAAATATTCTGATTTCTTTGTTACTATTTAAACATGACAATTGTAACACTGTGACTCAGTGTAGTGCAACAACTTTTAATCATTGGGCAACTCATTTCAAAACTGACTCCACATACACTTTAGTTCAGCAAAGCAAAGGGTGCATTCATACAGTTAAAGGAAATCTGGAGCTCAAAACAACTGTTAGCCAACACTAAAATTAGAATTTTCAATACAAACTTCAAGACAGTTCTATTGTACAGAGTTGAAACTTTAAGAACTACTGCAACTATGATCAAAAAAGTACAGATAATTTATAAACATTTGTTTACGCAAGATACTCAAGATTCGTTGATCAGACACTGTCAGCAACAATCTATTATGGGAAACGAGTCGGTTTCCAGCTGGAAAGTAAATTAGGAAAAGAAGCTGGAGGTGAATAAGACACACATTGCGGAGACCCTCAAACTGCATCACGATGCAAGCCCTAACTTGGAGTCCTCAAGGATATAAGAAAAGGAAACACCAAATAACACGTTGCATCGGGAATTGGAGACAGGCATCAAAATAATGAATAACACTTAGTAACGATTGCAAAAAAGAACCCAAAACAGACTCCTTGTGAGCAGCCTATAATCCATGAGAAGTAACAGGAGTTGAGTACACTACGGTTTAGGGCAGTTTGTAAATGGTATTTTCGACTTCAGTTACAAAATGTATAACTCAGTATGTAATTCACTTCTACCTGATTACTCAGTAATTAAATTGGGAAACTTTACTAAATCGGGTCACAATATATATGTACATTAGAAACGTCTGATCATAGAATAGTGTGGTATATGCTTTATATGACAACAGAGTAAGTGGATCATTCCTTTTGTAATTGTCGATCATTTTATTTATATGTAGGCGGGGATGCTATTCGACTGCCCAAATCGGATAAAATGGTTTCCTTAGGTAGCCCCACCTCTCAATCTTTGGATGTAGAGGTCTAATCTACAAAATAGTGAAGCTACGTCAGGAGATGCTATTTCATGGAAGCAAGTTACCAAAAGAGAATGATGTGGTTTGGCAACTTGAATCAATATTCATTTTTACCAAGGTTCTATTTTGCGTTCGATTATAGTTTCTAATCATCCCGTTCATGTATATCTGATTGTTACATTAAAAAATTTTTTTTTTTTTACTAATAGTATGATATGGATATGTTATTGTCAAAGAATCAGTGTGAATGTTTAAATGAAGATGATACACATTCACTTGCTCAATTATTGAATTCCTCTGAAAATAATAATTCTAAAGCATATTTACTGTCAGATACAGATGAACAGGTTAGTTTGCATGTTTAATGAATATAAGGTTTTATCTATTTATTTATTTATTTATTCAAACACATAAACATTGGTACAAGGAGGCGGCACCAAATAGATATGTACCACATTCCGTCATTTGATTTGTGTGAAGGCTGCGATACTGCCCGGGTGCCCAAACCGAAACAGTTACTTTTCTTAGATGACCACAATTGGAGCCTTTGACCTAAAGGTCTAATCCACAAGTAAGTGGAGCAACGTTAGGATATTTAGACCTATGGTAGCTGGTGACCGAAAATAGGTTCATACGCCATTTGTTCCTTTAGGATCCTAAAGTCCATGTGCACCATCGGTTTGTAATCGAGGTTTTCCAATTGCCTAAGGTTGATCCTCCATATCCACCAACCTGGTTAAAGCACCGAACATTCGCTTTTCGTTCTGTCAATTTCGTAAATAACAGTGAGTAGGACTTCCCTGGTAGTGGCTGTATGTACGTGGTTATATGTGAGCATTTCGAGAGGAAAAGCTGTCTCTTATCACTCTCAGCCGTTCCAGGGCATTCGGGGGAACTTTTCATTCAAATATTCTCGTCAAAACTTCGTGTTATGTTACTCGTTCGATCTACGTGCAGGGACGTTAGATAATCCCTTCTTATGTCAGTAGCATCTGTAGAAGTAGATATACTATACTGAAGGCCTTGAGTAAATACATCAAAATTGGAATGGAGTTTGTGGAATTCTGCGCAATATTAAAAGCATCGTGCACAATAGCTTATACGTTATTCGTATCTTAGTAAAAATTGTTAATATTTGGTGCTTAAAATGTTTGAAATCGGTCTACTCTGAAACCAAACAGTGAATATAACGTGATACTTCAGCTAAACTAGAGAAAATACCTACTCTTGATGTAGATTCAGTCAAAGTGTAGTGAACAATGACTTGGTAAGGAAAACCAATTTATTGTTTAACACAAAATTATGCAGTGTCTTTGTAAAATATAGAAATCATACATGAAATACATCATTTGCATATCTTTCTTAAGTTGTCCTATACACACTCCATTATTCTTCCAATCTTGTTGTTATTCCAATTGCTCTCTCTCTTTCCTTAACTCTTCTCTTTATTTTCATCTTCTACTGGTAAGCATTCTACTTCCTATTCCGGCTACATATTACTTATGTCTATCCTTATAAGTAGCATACACTACAAAAGTACTTGATGTGAGTTAATGTATATAATCAAGGGTGTTTGTGTGGCTAAATTATAATCTCCCATTTTGAATTTTGAATCTAAATATAAACCTTGAGTTTTTTTTTAAAGTTTGTGTAAAATAATAAGTTACAAAGAATCATTGAATTGTAACTGATTTTAGGTCTTGATAAAAACCTTAACTGTAATTCGTGAACAGAGTTTTCAGAGATCATCATTTTCATTATATTTGTGTGTGGGCTGTGATACTGCCGGGGTGCCCAGACCGAAGCAGGTGGTTTTCTTAGGGGGCCACACCCCGAGCCTTCGACCTGAAGGTCTAACCCACAAGGCAGTGGAGCATCGTAAGGAGATGCAGTCCCATGGAAGCCGGTGACCAAAAGTTGGTTCATACGCCATTTGTTCCCGCAGGATACTGGAGCCCATGTGCACCATTGGTTTGGAATCCGGTTAAAGCGTCGGACATTCGCTTTTCGTCCTCTCATTTTCGTAAACAACACCCGTGGTGCGAGAAGGCAGTGAGTAGGACTTCCCTGTCAGAGGCTATATACGCGTGGCCATGTGAGAGCATTTCGAGAGGGAGAGCGGACTCTCCCCACTGATATAGATTTAATATTATTTTGTATTTGTCAACAAGATGTATCATAGTACTAGAACCTAACATAATTCAGCTTTACAGTCTACAACTTTATCACTAAACGTTTCAGTTAGCAATTAATTTGCTTTAAAACTCAGGTATTGTGTATAGTAACTACCGATGGATTTTATATTTTCTAATTGATACTTTCCTTCTAATATATATCACCTTTGTACAAATTTGTGTCAATATTGTTATCATAATGATGTCTATATTTATGAATTCTTTCTTCTTTTCTTTTTATAAAGCTTATTATATACATTACATTTTCACAATTTGTTCGTATTCAATCTGTACAGATTAATGGGCCTAAAGGTAGGTATATCTGATTTTTGTCATCATTATCCTTATTAGTTAATTAGATATATGTAATTATCAATTTGTAGATGTGTTTGATTGTTAATTATATGATTGGGCACTGCGGTCACTATGACCACCTCTAATCCAATTTCCCTTTCAGTTACCTCCATGAGAACCCTTCCACGGTGTGGGCAACCGGGAAGTGATAACCGCCCTCATACCTCTAACATCTGACTGAATATGATTCACAGCTATGTTAGAAGTAAAAGGGTGATTGTCGCTTCTTGGTTATTCAAACCGTAGGTTGTCTTTGCTTGAAGAGAGAAACTTGGGTTAGAAGTGATTTTGTTGATGTAGGGAGTTTGGTTGTAGAGTTCAAGGTGAAACTATTTGAAGTTGATGAAATATGAGTTTTGTTAATTAGTTTTGTATTTAAAATACCTTACCATCGGAGTTGAAAATTTATGGGATTAAGTGAGATGTGCTATATTTAGGGTCGATTTTTTCATTTCTATGTAGAACAACAAATGCTGATTGCCTAAGGGTAACATTATTGCCGTGATAGCCGAGGATAGTTGACCATGAGTTAGCGTACGTTTGTCACAGGAGGTTGTGAAAGAAGGGAACATTGAGTAAATCTACATACATTATATGACAACACGAAATAGTATATTGTACAATCTATCCGTAGTCTTTGGCGATTAATTTTGAGTAAAAGGTGTACCGTGATCAGTTGAAATTTCCAGGTCGGCCAGACCATGGAGAGAGACATGAACAACAAATTGGGGATTTTTTTCAGTCTTTTATGTTTGGACCTACTACCTAATAGGCTTGTTTTACCAAACGTTTTTTTGAACTTCTTGCGTAGTATTATCTGGAGTGAAAATCTATGAAGCAATGGAGTTGTGTATGTGTGTTGTTTTTCCGGCTGATCTTATGTAACCTATTATTTTTTTTGTGAGAATACAGTATTGTTAAAGATGAGACACTTGTTGCTCAATATCGTGGATTGATTTTAGTTATACATGTACATCACCGGAGGTTGACTCAGTGATCTAGATATTAAGCACCCACCACGAGACCTCAAGGTCCTGCGTTCGATGTCTGCTCGCCGCCGAGGATTCCCATGCTGGGATGAAATAGCTGTCAAATGCTTCCTAGCTTTCAATATTTGTTTAGCTATGATCTGTTTGTAGTCTGCTCTATGAAAGTTCTACTTTCTTCATCAACCGCAATTGGTAATATTGAAATCATTCACAAATATTTCAATACTGTTTGAATAGAAATGGAAAGTTAGGACAGAATTCGACCTAGCACTCAACACTATCCTCCTGTAAACTAAAAACATAAAATAAGAAAACAGTTTTTTCATCATATAACCTCATGTTGTCTGTATAATTTCTAACTGATTACATATCTGTCTGTTTTTTATCTTTTGTCAATTCATTGACTCAACAACAAAACTTTGATCCAGTTCAAGCATGAGACTGAAAGTCCTGAATTCGGTCCCCTGTTATGTGGACATGGATGTGTACCACTAAGGAACCTCATGCTAGGATGAAACAGTTATCTTAGTGCTTTCAAACTTTTTTGGTGGTTGTCCAACCGAATTCATTTTGTGATCCCAGTTAAATACTAAACTAAACTTTTCATTCTATATTGTACTTGAAATAATTTGTCATATTTTTTCTTCTTCTAGAGAATGCACCAAAAACAGTAAAACTATTTATTAATCAAACATCAACACCTGATTTTGATAGTTGTGAAATTGGTGAAGCTGTACAAACATTAGAGTAAGTTCTTACTTAATTATAATCTGCCTTTCTTTTTCAAAAGTATTTGTCTTCCTAGTTCAACACTAATGAAAGTAGATCATTTGACTCATGTTAATTTTTGCATTATGTTTACTAGTGGAGATCAAGTTTCTTCTTCGATGTGGCTGATATCACCTGTTCAAGTAATGGGTTCCATTTATTCATTGGTCATTGAGAACAATGGAATTCCATTTTGAGTTTGTTTAATCATGGTTGTTGGATATTTTTATGATGACATTTCAAAATAATTAGTCCTAAAGGGAGAAAAACAATAAGATATGCTAGTAGTACCCTAGTCTTTATTCAAGATACACAGGATCCTTATGTGAAATCCTCTCACATTTTACAACAAAATAGGGAAAATAAATCTGGTCGTTTCAGTTGTTTCTCGTATGGCAGTTTTGATAATCCTCTTAGCAAATTAATGGCTACTCTTCAAACACACTCGTGAAAAGTGTTAGTATATAATCTCTCCAATTAATTCTCCAACTGGGATCTATTAAAGTTGTTAATTATGGACATATAACATTGCATCCTTAGACACTGAACACTTTGAGTCACTCTGAGTTTGGGAAGAACAACTTTTTTTTTGGTTTAGTCACTCATCAATGAAAATTATGGTTTCTATAAAATTACATAATCTACTCAAGTAATATGTAACACAATGCATTTGAACATTGTCGACAATTTATGTTGATTTGTAATTCAATTAATAACTGTATTATATCATCCATAATATAATTAGTAGATGTAGACTACTTGGTTGAGGTTCGTGTGACTATCGTAACCAATGGTTGGCGACTCCTGGTGACATAGCTCAGAATCGATCACAATGGAATAGGTATATACACTGTCTATCTTACCTTAAACTATGAGATTAAAATTATTTCATATCTTTTTTTCTACCAACTAATTCTTTTTTTCTATACTTTATATATTACATCATCGAATTAACTACTTCTATGAATCCGGTATTCACCTTGTTGTGCTAATAAAGTGTGACAACTTGGACCAATGCATGTATGTGCCTGGTCCTACGTTGTAATTGACTAACTGATTGGTTATGTCATCCTACCTACTCATCAAACTTAAATTGATCTACCTTTAAATTTCGTAAGATCCTTGCTTGTGCAATTTATCAAATAGACTCATATTGATTATAGCACACAGAGTAGTCCTAACCATTGTCTAATTCATTCAATTCATATAAAATCTAATACAATTGAGCATCAACATTCGTATTATCGATATAAAATAAAGAGATAATTTTGTAAAGAAAAAAAATTAACAAAAGGGGAGGAAGTACAATCAAAAAAGTGTAAGTGAACAAGAGTAATGTATAACAGGTTATACAAGTCAATCTTCTATCTTTATTATTCACTTATTTATTTATTATAACACAGATATTGATACAAGGAGGTACCAAATACATATACGATACACAAATCTCATTTGATATGTGTGAGGGCTACGATACTGTCCGGGTGCCCGAAATCGAAGTATATGGTTTTCTTAGGAGGCCACACCCGGAGACTTCGACCTAAAGGTCTGATGCACAAGGCAGTGGAGCATCGTAAAGAGATGCAGTCCCATGGTAGCCGGTGACCAGCGATTGGTTCATACGCCATTTGTTCCTTCAGGATACTGGAGCTAGCCCATGTGCACCATTGATTTGGGATCCGGTTAAGGCACCGGACATTCGCTTTTTGTCCTCTCATTTTCGTAAACAACAGTAATGCCACGTGAAGGCAGTGATTAGGACTTCCCTGGCAGAGGCTATATACGCGTGGTCGTGTGAGGGTATTTTGAGAGGGAGGGCGAACCCACCCCACTCTCGGCCATACCAGGGCATTTACATAATGTAAATAATGTATGTTATGTTCGAAGGATTACGGTATCACCGAGAATCGGCGAACCAAATGAAAGTCAACAACAGGACAAGCTAACTATTCCACTTCGCCCCAACCCTACTAACTAGAAGGAGAGGACCAGATTCAGCGCGAACGAATAAGCACACAAGTCGTGAGTATATATGTAACATTAAAATGTCTTTGGGAAACTTCAAAAAATAGTGTACTAAAAGAGGAAACGAACCAATGACACTTGAGGTCCTTCCAATTAGGAAATACAGACAGGAGTTAAAAATGGGCTCTTTCGGCGCGAAGATTAGAGATTTGAATTCTCATAAAAAATTACAAAAATGAGATTTTTATCAAGTGATATGTGGAGATCTATCATCCCCAACATAATAACAATTCAAGACGATTTAACTTCTACAGGACATTTACAGCTTCATTGTAGTCATGAATCGATCTTAGTTAAATCATCATTGAAAATGTGGAACCACTGGACGGTTCTGTTATGGAACTCCTCAACAGTGCGTATCCACAAGTTCTCAAGGGGGAATCGAATAAGTGATTTTTTATTTGTTAATACACTATACATCCAATCAGATGTAAAAACAAGAGATAAGTTCAACCATGAGTCAGTCCACTTCTTAGTGAATTCATTTTTAATGCAGTACAATTGAAAATGTAGACCTAATGTTCAATATGATCAACAATTTGTGTATCCCAACGTGAACATTCAGCTAATGAGCCCTAAATAAGACGAAACGCGCGTCCTGGATTCCACTGCTAACCGACCACCCATGTTTGCTTATAATAATAATACTAATTTGTATATAGTTTTATTTGTAGTTCTTAACGTATAAACTCATTTGTATCACTTATTTTGACTGATTTGACATTCATCGAGTAAATTCTGGCTCTATCCCCTAGCATGTATGTGTGTGTGTGTGAACTGATGTGAAATCTGACAATTTGAACTAATGTTGATTTGTTCCATAATTTAGCTTGTTTATCACTATAAACATTGTTGAATCTATTGAAACGTTTAAGTCATCCAATTGAGCTACGCGCAAAATCGAAGTTTGCAAAACAATGATTTGTCTAAACTAGCAATTCTTTATTGAATAATACACAAAAATGAGTTACAAACCTTAAGTTGTGATGTGTCTGGGGCGTTTAACATATCCTTTTGTCTGAAATAAGAAAATGGTTTCTTGTAACAATAACATAAAGAATAATTACAACATATAATAGTGCAAAAGGCAGCTGTTAGCTGTGTCTAAACTTGACAACAGTTTATCAACAAGTAAACTTTGAAACGAAGAGTAAGCAATATGGAAACTGTTGCTTTTTAACAAGGGTTAAATAATTGCACAAAATCACGAATAACTACTACAATGATTGAGATAAAGTAATTATTATAATAAATACAATGTATGTTTTAAGTATATGTAAATATTTGAGGATAATACACAACAAACCTACGTTAAAACATAAATGCAGAAATTTCTGGGAATACTACTATTTACTGAATATTAATAAGTAGTATAAAACAATATGCAAAAGAGTCGAAGGGAAGTAAATAAGCAGTTTAGGGATTGTGAAGATTAAGCTTTTTGATTGAGATCATGAACCGATTGATGTTAGACCACGTTTAAAAACCTGGAAGCACTGGACGGCCGTTTCTTCTTTTTGTGGGACTCCTCAGCAGCGCGCACCCACGATCCTGCTCAAGGGATTCAAACCCAGTGCCTTCAGTCTCGCGCGCGAACGCTTAACCTATTGGACCACTGAACAGGTATCAATCTTAGTACCTTGTTTAACACATATTCAGGATGACATTTATTTTACTAATTCCTATTTTCTCAATTGGTTTTTCGATTATCTGATTGATTGTTATCACTTTTAGTTTGTTAATTTCATTATTCTAAGTTCATTTCACTTTTCGACTTCTGTTCAAAATGCAGAAGTCTTTTCTTCTTTATTTCATATTAACCTATAGATGATTAACGTTAAAGTGTCGTTGTTTGTTAGAGTTTCGACTTATTTGAGTTTTCAATATTTTTATTCACATTAGAAGATTTCTTAATCGTTCTTACGTAGAATTTATTGTAGGCTTACTAGCGTAGAACTTCGTACGTACGTACATCAGCACAATTTGCCATACCACATTAACACAGAGACACAATTGTCGATTCAAATCCCGTAGTGGTAGAGGTAGTGAAAGTATTAGTACTGATAACGAACATTAGGGTTCGAAGATGTTATTCAAGGAGTATAATCCAGTGAAATAAATTTGGAAAGAGAAAAAAGGAGGGATATGAATAATTCAGAAGATTAGAATTTGGGAGAACACAAAGAGCTGATGCACCTGCTCCATTGCAAACGATTTCGAGCCATGACATTCAAGATCTCTAACCATCGGTTGCTATCGTCTCACCGTTCACAACCAGGTAGTCTACACCTACCAACATGGTTCAGTCCACTTGTCAGTGATTTCATGGATTTCTGCCATGTTTTGTTCTGGCCGCCCCTGGCCTTCTTCCAACCTACTACTACACCATAAACCATCGCACGTCGTGGCAGTCGGTGGTTGGGCATACGTAACACATGTCCCAGCCATTTCAACCGATGAATTTTCACTACTTCATCAATTGATTTGACATCCTTACCTAGTACCCGTTTCATAACAACTGCATCACTTACTCGGTGGTCCCAGGATATACGAGCAGTACTTCGAAAACATCTGTGATCGAATACTAGTAACCTACGAATATCCTGTACTCTTACCGGCCATGTTTCACTACTATAAAGTAGGACGAAACGAACTGCTGAGCAGTAAACTCGTCCTTTGTTTACTAGACGGATATCTCGCTTACGCCATAAATGACGCAAGTTGGCAAAAGCCAGTCGAACCTGCTATATCTATGCTGCGATTTCGCCACACACTAGACCACAAGGGCTGATGAGACTTCCAACATAGGTGAAGCGGTCGACACGCTGAACTACTTCACTCCCTATCATTAGTTTGGGTGTCGATACAACCCAAACCTGAAGCAACATTTTTCATTTTGAGGGAGAGAATCGCATCCCAAACATGCTTGCATTGTTGCATAGAGTGGTCAGAAGACACTGTATTTTGTCAGCGTTTTCACCATATAGAACTATGTTATCGGCCTATTCTAAGTCAAAAGTGAATCTCCTGGTAGAAGACAATCTGTTTACAGTGTTATGTAATTTTAAGTTTCCAATCCTTAGCAAAAATTAATTATTTTTTCACTATTTCTATCTAAACAAAAACTAGTTTTCTTCTTTTCATATGTTTATTCTTCTTTACTCAAGATTAACAGAAGATGATATCAAAGATGGTGGGATAACACAGTTGAATTTTGTAAAATTCCAGAATGTTAGTACACTTACAGTAAGTTAGAAAATTGATTCATTGGTATATACGTATATTATTACTATTATTGTTTGTTAAGTCTTTGTGAAATCTTGTTGTCTTAACAAGGAAACTGTATATGGGATTCATTTATTTAAACTCATAAACATCGATACTAAAGGGTATCAAAATATGTATATGCTACATGAGCAGATAGAAGTAGTCGAGAAGTTCGTGTATCTAGGTAGCTGCATAAGTGCTGGTGGTGGTGTGAGTTATGAGATCAATGCACGTATAGTGAAAGCCAGAGCGGCTTATGCCAATCTGGGCCATCTTTGGCGCCTTCGTGATGTTAGTCTGGCTGTAAAAGGTCGGATCTACAACGCGACGGTGAGAGCAGTTTTGCTCTATGCTTGTGAAACCTGGCCTCTCCGAGTTGAGGATGTTAGACGACTCTCTGTGTTCGATCATCGTTGTCTCCGAAGGATTGCTGGCAACCAGTGGCAACACCATGTCAGTAATGCAGAGGTCCGGCATCGTGTGTTCGGTCACAGAGACGATAATGAAATTGGTGTCACCATCTTGAAACACCGACTTCGGTGGCTTGGACATGTTCTACGAATGTCGTCCCAGAGAATTCCACGTCGTGGATTATTTGCCGACTCTGGGACTGGTTGGAAAAAGCGGAGAGGTGATCAGTATATGACATGGTGTCGTGGTATGAAAGAAAGCTGCAAAGGACTAGCTTCTGTTGGTCCTTCACGACTCCCTGGTTGGGGTCCGAGGGACGGTGTAACGCAGTGGCTAGAGACGTTATCAGATATGGCTAAGAATAGAAGCCAGTGGCGATCCTGCTGTAACCTCTTACTTTCTTCATAAAAAGTGGTTGTATCTTCCTTAATTGAAAGATCTCTTCTGATTGTACCTTTCCGTTTCCCCCACCATTGTTCTCTCTCTCTCCCTTTTTTTTTATAATTCCCCACGTTCATTACTTTTTTTTCTCTTTTCTCCTTCTCTTCAAATTATCATTGTTTTGTGTGGCGCATATATATTTGGTGCCCCCCTATACCAATATTTATGTGTTCAAATAAAATAATAATAATAATAAATAATAATAATAATATGCTATATGAAATTTGTATGAGGGCTGGAATACTGCCCGTGTACCCAAACCGAAACGGGTGGTTTTCTTAGGAAACCACTCCCCGAGCCTTTGACTCAGAAATTTACTCTACAAAGCAGTGAGGCAACGTTAAGAGATGCGATCTCATGGTAGCCAGTGACCAAGAATATGTTGACACGTCATTTGTTCCCTCAGAATTGTGGAGGCGACAAAAGAGATTGGTTTTCAATAAACTTTCCCCACCCCACCCCCAAGGTGCGTAGACCGTCAATACCTCCGTACTCGGTTTAATCACCGGATATTCGTTTTACATCGTCTCAATTTTGTAGAGAACAACTTGTATGCAAGAAGGCTGTTAGTAGGACTTACTTGGCAGTGGCTATTTACGCGTAGTCATGTTGAAAGCGGTTCAAGAAGTGGACTCTTTCCATCTTTAGACATAGCATGCCATTTGGAGACTACTCGAAGATGACTTGTTGAGGACCTATTCGGCACTCAAGATAAATTAAAATAAACCCCTGAACTGGATAGTATTTAACATAAGTTAATGGATAACTTACCATGTAAATACATACTTACCATATCATATAATCTATACAAATACTCCTTTTTATAAAATGTGATTATGTCATGTCAAAGATGTTTGGTTAAGGAAATCAACTTCATATGTCATTCACTCTTCAATCCATAAAGTCTTTGTTCATATTAACTGCTAGATTTTCTTCTGATGTCATTTATTATAAATAATTGACTGCCTCATCTTAGTATGAGACCTTTCATCCATACACATCTACAACTATGTTCTGTGATCGTCAACCCACAAGTCCTTCAGGGATCATTTAGTCAACTAAGTTATAATTCAATAATGAAATTCCATTTGTAGATTAAATCAATTTATCATCAATAACACGATTGATGTGTAGGCGAGAATGATAATGATTGTATGTCTGCTTAGTCAAACATGTAGATAGTTTGACAAGTGTGTCAGATGAGTTATATATTCCCTTATCCTTATTATTGTTTGTTCATTGTTGTAGATTGTGTCGGTTTTCGGTGTAAAAATATATTCACATTGTGATCAGGCTAATCACGTGTTCTTGATCATCTGAGTTGTGTCGAAGTCCTGTAGAATATACACTGAGAGGGATCTAGTGTAGATAATCGTTTAAGCGTTACAACATCAGACAAAGTAATACCTCAAGTTATAACAACGATAATCGTCAAATGCTATGAATTACAACTGATTCACTCACTACCGTTAGATTTGAATTCTCTCTCTCTCTCTCTCCTTCTACAAGGTTAAAACTTTTTAGTTATAGAACTTCTGAAAGAGTTCGAAGTAAAATCATTAATGAATACAACTTGTATTATTAAATGGATCCCTACCATAATGTCTATTCCATTTAAGATATATACTACTTACAAATTCATAATAAAGTATATCAATTATAATAATAAACGAATTCCGTGTATAATGTATGATGAATATGATAAGAATAAAGAGTACAATTTTCGGTGACACTATAATTTATGGACGACCTTTGAACAATCCCAAATTCACCTTGAGAATGTCTACTTACTAAGTCGAACTAAATGAGGGTTATAAAATAGTGTCAGTCAGTCATCTACAGCGTAGGATCAGGCATATATATATATATATATATATATATATATATATATATATATATATATATATATATATATATATATACCAGTCCAGGTTGCCATGGCTCATTAGCACAACAAAATGAACACCGGATCCATAGAAGCACTTAATTCATTGGTAGTAATATATAAAAGAAAAAGTTAGTTGGTGCAAACAAAGATATATAGCAATTTTAATCTCACACTTTAAGGGAAGGCAGAGAGTGTATCACCTGCGCCATTGTGGTCGATTCTGAGCCATGTCACCCCAATTCTCCAATCACTGGTAATGTTAGTCACACTGACCCCAACCAAGTAGTCTGCATTTACCAACATGGCTTAGAGTAGAAGTTAGGGATCTCAAGCATTGATGCCACGTTTTGGTTTGACCACCCTTAACTTTCTTCAAACCACCCCACAACACTAGTCAGCATTGCGCGTCTTGGTAACCGGTTTAGGAATTAGATTTAAGGTTTTCATCACGAAGTGATATCAGCCAAAATGCTATTTAACCAAATGGATAAATAAGTTTCCAGCCAAAATCTAAGATGTATTGTAGTGAACACGAACACGAGTGGGGAACAATCGGATGTATTTGACAACAAATTACAGAACTAGTTGGTAGAATCTAACCACCATATATCAAATGCTCAATTTGCGAAATGTCCATCAATTGTGTCAAAATGACTCAGAATACCTTTGTTCTTGCATTTTCATACACATTACATTCTGTCTTCATTCTTTACTGTTCGATCATTTTGTCTCTCTTTGATGCCAGACATTGTGTTCACGGCTAACATCATATACTACTTATATCGATATAAGTAGCACACACACATCACAGTATTATCTTATATCTGATTGGTTCGTGCATAAATTATAGTCTTTTGCCCAATTTGCTTTTTTTTGGTACAATCCTTATTGTAAACTAATTTCTTCTCCCTTCTCCTATACTTCTTGTTGTTAATTGTATATTGTGTCATAGATTTTTGTGAAAAATAATCAAACATCAACTGATCAAACTCGAATTGATACATTGAAATTTTACGGTTATCCAGTGAATACAATCAATATGAATGAATTTAAAAGGGTGAGTTCAGTATTATTATTATTATTATTATTACTACCATATATATATATATATATATATATATATATATATATATATATATTTAGTAGCCTGATGTGTTCGCTTGTGGTGACGGGATCACCATTTTTGTGGCCCGTGATCTGACTCCAATTTGATCGTAATGATTGGTTGCTATCGTCTATCCTCGTATATAATCATTGACTTAAATCGCGTTAGTTAATAACGGAATTAAATAAGTCAAATAACGAGAATGGACTTTTGGATGCATATATTTTGTATAATCGTTGATCAGACAAACGAACGGGGGAACGATGCGAAGAGCAGAAAGCGAAGCGAAATTGACGCGCGGTAGAGATGGCTGGTAAGCCAACTCTCCGCTTAACAAAGAGTTAATCAATATTTATAAGCCCACAAAAATAAATTACAGACATGTGATGAGTAACGGGATAAGAAGTGTACATACGCCTACGTGCTCATACAAAGACAGTCAAGATATTGATAAGCGAATAATTAACAAGGTTAGAATGTGACTCACATAGAATGAATAGAATGAGCTGTCTGAAAGTTAAAATAATAAGGTATTTGGGCTTAACATAATGACAGACACTACATATATATATATATATATATATATATATATATATATATATATATATATATATATATGTATCAATTCATCAATTACTGATTACAGAATGATGTAAATGACGTAATAATTGAGAATGAATACAATACTTTACTTTAGACAAAATTTACAGTCTAGTGTTAGTCTAGTCAATTTCAAGTTATACATTCATGGACTCATATTTTTTTCTTTATTTCAGATTCATCAATTAGATATTTCTTCATCTTATATTGGTGAAAATTTTAAAGTATCTTTCAAACTTATTCAATTAGAATTGTTAGTTTCAATGGACTAAATTTAAAATTACGCATATTGTATAGAAAATTCTAGTAGAATATTTAAAATATCAATTCCTCAGTTTTATAGAATGTTATTCACGGTTCAAACAGTTCAGTGTTAACATGAAAGACTGTAAAGATTGTTAGCCCCCAAATGCCCTGGTACGGCCGAGAGTGGGGGGAGTCCGCTCCCTCTCTCGAAATGCTCTCATATGGCCACGCGTATACAGCCCCTGCCAGGGAAGTCCTACTCACTGCCTTCTCGTGGCGGGGGTGTTTTTTACAAAAATGAGAGGACGAAAAGCGAATGTTCGGCGCTATAACCGGATTCCAAACCAATGGTGCACATGGGCTCCAGTATCCTGAGGGAACAAATGGAGTATGAACCAATCGTTGGTCACCGGCTTCCATGGGACTGCATCTCCTCACGATGCTCCACTGCCTTGTGGATCAGATCTTCAGGTCAAAGGCTCGGGGTGTGGCCCCCTAAAAAAACCACCTGGTTCGGTTTGGTCACCCGGGCAGTAACACAGCCCTCACACATATCAAATGAGATCTGTGTGGCGCATATGTATTTGGTGCCTTCTTGTACCGATATTTATGCGTTAAAATAAATAAATAAATAAAAGATTGTTGACGTTGATTTAGATTGTACAAAAAGCGTCAGTTGACCCGAGATCAAGGTTACTCCTTGTTGACAAGTGCTGACTAGCAAAATACCTTAGTTTAAGCAGATGTTTCTTCCGGCCCCATTCAACCACCGAATATAACATCACTAGTCCATTTTTTTTTAACCTGCATTGGTCATGAATACGTACATCTGAGGAGTTCCATACCAGGACGAAACGGCTGTGCAGTACTCCTAGGTTTTCAATGCTGATCTAACATTGGTCAATTCATGATCTCAATTAAAGTTACTTATTGACAAGATTCAAGTTTTGTTTATTCAATGTAATTTTGATGTGATTAAGTGGATTTTGATACATTAAATAGCCATATGAGAGCATTTGGAAAAGGATGGCTGACTTAACCCACCGTCGACCGTACCTGGAAATATATGAATCTTCCAGGTTTGTATCACTAGGTCTCGCACATACACAAACACATGAAAATAGTGGTTTCAAGCTGAGTACATTAAGAATTAGATTTCGTCAGTGTTATAGATTTACAGTCGTTGTAAAACATTAAGTGAAATTGTTTTTTTTTATAAGCTGTTATGAATTTCTGTTTGTTCATGCTCGCATATATGCATACGCATATCACAAGTCACATCCCTAAACATACTTGTTGCATGTAAATCAATATAAATCGAGTCAGTGGATAATCGGAGTTCAATGGGGATAATCTTTGTATATTTTCTGATGACTTATTTATTGTCATGTCCTGGACTTCTAAAGATGCCCTAGTTTTGTTTAGACTATCCTCTATTCCCATCATCCGCATTGTCCGTAAAGTTACCTCATTAATACAAGCACAAATACATATAGCAGATTTTAATAGTTTTTACTCAAAGACAGGGAAAAGATACTCAACTTGTTCGATGTCTCTAAGAGTTGCTACAATTACTCTTGATGTGATATTTTGCTTGTTTTTGGAGGTGATTAAGAACATTGATGTAGTTAGCTTCTTTGTGGTTGGTGGATTATTCATGAATTGCTCATAGATCGTTTAGACATCAACAGTACAATGATGTATGTGAGTTGCTGCACACATGACTGACACCTTGTCCTGTTGAATGTGATCTGGATTGTGTTGGTGTTATTGTCGACCTATGTCTTGTGATCGTTGATAGTTGATGAATTGGATCGGTTTCGATGTGTCTATTGACTAAACAATAAAAGCTTCATGAAATCGCTATTTATTAGTAGTATAATGAGAAAACTACAATTTTCTCCTGTTCATTGTAGTCAATCATAAAAACATGTATAAGATTTCATATGTTTAGTCAAATTCTTTCTCTAATCAGTCACATGTTGCAACCAATGGTTGGAGACTCTTGCTGACATGACTCAGAATCGATCACAATGGTGTAGGTGTATACACTCTCTGTCTTCCCTTAAACTATGAGATTAAAATCGCTTTATATCTTTCTTTCTACCAACTAATTCTTTCTTCCTGTACTATATCCTTAATATACAATCTTTCTTTTATATATTACTACCACTGAATTAACTACTTCTATGAATCTGGTGTTTATGGTGTTGTGCTAATGAGGTATGGCAACTTGGACCGATGCACATATGTGCTTGATCCTACGTTGTGACTGACTGATGTTGCATCATCGGTATATGATCATAATAATATTTTCAAATTATGATCTATCATTTGTACAATTGACGTTTTTTTTAAATAAATGAAGTTGAAATACTATAAAATACTTCCCTATGATAAATATGTTTCATCCAATAAATTCATGGAATACTAAGCTACACAGTTGATTGGTGGAAATTGAAGGGGAAGGAAAATACTAATAAAAATTTCATTCCATGTCAGAAGGCGCTCATAAGTATAATAGGTTATAGAGAAAGGTACTTTTTAAGTGCCTACATAAATAGTGGAAAGATTTGGAAACTGGTAACAAATTCAATACGACTATTGACCTATTTTATTAATTAGATCGTCAATTCTATGCTTTTCAGTCAATGATTCATTGTCCAAATGTTTTCTGATAAAACTGGATTCAATGAAAGCGTCTTGACAGTTAACCAGATTAAATCCGTTAAGCGCATGAAACAATTTTAAGCAGGCGGCAGTTGAAACTTTCGACATTCCATAGTTGCGATCCTAAGTCAATTGGAACTTGACCACAATGAAAAATCTGGAAGCAATGGTCGACCGTTTCGTCCTATTGTGGGATTCCTCAGCGATTCGCATACATGATCCCGCCTCGCGATATTCGAACTCAGGACCTATCAGTTTCGCGTGCGAACGCTTAACCAGTAGACAACTAAGCCGGAAGCCAACTGCGTTAATGTCTCACGATGGATGTGTCGCTCAATCTCCTGTATTGGTTGAAGTTAGGACATTAACACCATTAGATGCTGACCCAGTGGTCTAGATGTTAAGTGCTCGCGCGCGAGTCCGACAGGTCCTGGATTCGAATATCGCGGGGCGGGATTGTGGATGCGAACTGCTGAGGAATCCCACAATAGGACGAAACGGTCGACCATTACTTTCAGGGTTTCCATGGTGGTCTTGCTCCTATTGACTCGTGATCTCAACCATTGAAAGTAACTATATATATATATATATATATATATATATATATATATATATATATATATATATATATATATATATAATATGATATGATATGTTGAATTCTATTTATATCTATGTATTTAATAATCCTTAGGTCTCTGGGAAGAAAGGTGAAGCCCACGGTTAACCTATTACCGAGATAAAAACTATGCTTCATTATTATTATTGAAAAGACTACTTGGGAAAATGTAAACAATTACACAAATGTATTCATGCTCACTTCGTTTGTCTTTGAGTGTGTATGTGTGTTTGAACATTTTAAATGGATGATTAACTCGTTAATTTCTCCTTTTATTCTACCACTTTGTAACTTGGATTCTTGGTTGTTTTTTTTTTAAATATACAGAAACCTTGAAGTGGATTATAATTTTCTTTTGTTAATATGTTAATCTCTTACATGTCAGTTAATCATCAACAACGTAGAACTTTGTACGTACGTACATCAGTTTGAGTTGCCATAACACATGAACACAGAGATTCAGTTATCTATTCAAATCCCATAATTGTAGAGGTAGTGAAAGTATAAGTAGTGATAGGGAATATTAGGGTTTGAAGATGTTATTTCAAAGAGTATAATCCAGTGAAATAAATTTGGAAAGAGAAAAGAGGAGGGATATGAATAATTCAGATTAGAAATTGGGAAAACACAAAGAGTGGATGCAGCTGCTCCATTGTAAACGATTTCGAGCCATGACATTCAAGATCTCTAACAATCGGTTGCTATCATCTCGTGGTCCCAAACCAGATAGTCTACATCTATCAACATGACTCAATTCACTTGTCAGTGATTTCATGGATTTGTGCCATGTTTTGTTCTGGCCGCCCCTAGCCTTCTTCCAACGAACTACTACACCATAAACCATCGCACGTCGTGGCAGTCGGTGGTTGGGCATACGTAACACATGTCCCAGCCATTTCAACCGATGAATTTTCACTACTTCATCAATTGATTTGACATCCTTACCTAGTACCCGTTTCATAACAACTGCATTACTTACTCGGTGGTCCCAGGATATACGAGCAGAACTTCGAAAACATCTGTGATCGAATACTAGTAACCTACGAATATCCTCTACTCTTACCGGCCATATTTCACTGTCATAAAATAGGACGTACGAGGTGCTGCACAGTAAACCTGTCCTTTGATTGTTGGACAGATATCTCGCCTACACTATAAATGACGCAAGTTGGAAATAGCTAGTCGAGCCTTTTGTATCTGTGCTGCGATTTCGCCACACACTAGACCACAAGGGCTAATGAGACTTCCCAGATAAGTGAAGCGGTCGACACGCTGAACTACTTTACTCCCTATCATTAGTTTGGGTGTCGATACAACCCAATCCTGAATTAACATTTTGCATTTCGAGGCGAAGAATTGCATCTCTTACATGTAAGAATAGATTCTTTGTTTGTTAGATATTGCATTGAATGGGACACCACTATTTGAGCTGAATTTAACGCCTATCGAATTAAGAGAAAATACAATGACTTGGCTTCGAGATGATTCTTTAGGTTTCGTATATCCATTACCCTGATAATTTAAAATAATAAGTCTCTTTATACGAATATTCGTCAAGATTAAAACGAATAGTTTAACAGAAATTCAGCGCCAAGACGAAGTTTATCAGAATTATTGTTGATATATTGTGCAAATATATAACATAATACTGATCAACTTCGTCTTCTCATTGTATTTATCAAAAACCCTGATAATTGTCATTTAATAAATTCCAACAGTGTATACATTCAGAAGTCAACACGATAAACTGATCACAGTTTATTGCTGTATGGCTCAGAACACAAAGCTATATATATATATATATATATATATATATATATATATATATATATATATATATAAGCACAACCAAGGGAATCTGAGTAAGAAAACTAATGCATGTGAGCAAGTGGATCTGGTGTCAAATCGGATTCGAACAAAGTAATTAATAAGATCAAAGCACATATATATATATATATATATATATATATATATATATATATATATGTATGTGGAATAGTGAATGATTCATCCAGCAGATATTTAAGTTAGAAAGAGATATAGATAGTAAATTATCATATATGATCAAGCATACATGATTATAATTAGACAAAATATAACGTATAAGATAAATTGCATTATCTATTCAATATAGTTAATTAAAGAGTTTGACAAAATTAACCCTTAAACAAACTTGATTATATAAAAGATACTACTATAATAATAATAATAATTCAACAGTATTATATAGTCAAATCTATAATTCATATCATGTGTTCAAGTCATTCGATTAGAATTCTACTTATGATGTTAATTATTCTATTTCTTTTAATAGTAATAATATTCTAGACTTTATCAATGAACATATCTAACTTGTTATCAGAAGGGGGTTTTTATGGAGATTGTAGTAACCCCAGAACCTACAAGGTTCGAATCTTGCCCCCAAATGCCCTGGCACGGCCGAGAGTGGGGAGAGTCCGCTCTCCCTCTCGAAATGCTCTCACATGGCCATGCGTATATAGCCTCTACCAGGGAAGTCCTACTCACTGCCTTCTCGCACCACGGGTGTTGTTTACGAAAATGAGAGGACGAAAAGCGAATGTCCGGCGCTTTAACCGGACCTCAAATCAATGGTGCACATGGGCTCCAGTATCCTGAAGGAACAAATGGCGTATGAACCAATCGTTGGTCACCGGCTACCATGGGACTGCATCTCCTCACGATGCTCCACTGCCTTGTGGGTTAGACCTTTAGGTCGAAGGCTCGGGGTGTGGCCTCCTAAGAAAACCACCTCCTTCGGTTTCGGCACCCGGGCAGTATCACAGCCCTCACACTTATCAATTGAGATTCGTGTGGCGCATATGTATTTGGTGCCTCCCTGTACCTATACTTATGTGTTAAAATAAATAAATAAATAAATAACAAGGTTCGAATCTTGCAGGGGGTGAAGTCGTAGATGCGTACTGCTGAGAAGTCTCACAATAGGACGAAACGGCTATACAGTGCTTTAAAGTTTTCGATAGTGGTTTAGCTTCAACTGATTCATGATTTTAATCATTGAAATATCTAAATTGTCTTGTTAATGTTGAGTCGATACAAGTTAATCTGTTATTAATAGTAGTTCTTTAGAGAATTAAAATAACTCATAGTTTTATTGAATAAGTAAAAGTAAATTCAGCAACTGAAACATCTAGGACTTTATCATGATAAAGCATTGACAGTACAAAAGAGATTCTTGTTTATGAGTATGGAATTTAAAGGCTGATGAAATAAACAGATTTCAAAATTGTTGAATAGCTCCGAATTGTTTTCTAAAACTGGTCTACCATTTATGGATGGGTTAAAGATAAACTTTTGTTTTGGGTCACATCAATTTGTATCTATAAATTTACTTACTCATGTACGGTACGTTACATGAGCCGCACAAAGTGATCACTTTCCAAACACATCTTAGAACACTATCCGGTTTGGTTTTTAAAAAGAGAATATAAAACAATTATTAATTCTATACAGGAACATTTAATCAATTGTGAACACATCGCTCGAAAGGATTCTTTTACCCAATCAAAGGTATTGGATCGAAGGAGTGTCAAATCAATATTTCATGCACTACTGAAGCATTAGCAATCTACGAACTCAAACCTGAACTTTGCGTGCAAAAACGATTCGTCCAACCTCTCATTTTTTCTTGGCTTTAATTCCCTTTATTGGTATGTTCCAGTTTAGTTTCAAATCAATTTATGATGTATATATATATATATATATATATATATATATATATATATATATATATATATATATATATACGAATGTACAGCTTAAGTAAATAATTTTGTCAAGAAGAGAGAATTTTCTTCGCTGAATTCTCTTTTTCTTATTCTACGACTTATTATTTAAGATGTGGTTTAATTATAATTGTATATAAGCTTATGAATGTGTAGTTATTTCAATGGTGATAATATATAAAAGATAGATTGTATATAAGGACATAATGCAGGAAGAAATGAAGATATGAAGCGATTTCAATCTCACAGTTTAAGGGAAGATAGAGAGTGTATACACCTATGCCATTGTGATTGATTCCGAGCTATGTCACACAGAGTCTCCGATCACTTGTTACGATAATTGCACTGAACCCAACCAGGTAGTCTGCATCTACCCAGACAAGAAGTTAATTACTGTTATGTCCATTTATCGATCAATACTATACATTGGCGGCCTGCTTGAATATCTGGGCCACCTGTTCCTGCTATCTGGATATTTCAACAAGTTACCTGTTTTCTTGTTGGTTTTAACACATCATTATGCCTATTAGTCTCATAACCAATTCAGGTGCGTTTGTGAAATGTTTGCGGCATTTCACTGTACAAGTTACAAAAAAAGCTCAATCAGAGACATTATGGTTACTGGCAATATGCATCGAAAAGGATATACATGGATCAGATGGTGGATTCTTGAACCGCTAACATCTAACTGGCGACCACTCAATATTTATCGCAAGGAACTGATCAAGAAATAAGAAACGAGAAACTTGTTGAAATACTTTGTGCTGACAATTCTATATTGTACCAAAAAATATAATATTGAATAAAGCCTCTAATAATAATATACTTTTATCGTATAATTGTTAAATAACTAAACTATTCATATTCGTGTTCCTCTTATTACGAACCTTATTTTGACCTATGAATTATTATAATTTACCATTCTTGAATTATGCCCTGTCTATCAATTACTATCTCCCTCCCTTATTCACACTCACTTTTGGCCAAATCTTGTACAAACGTTATTTCCTATCTTATCGGTACGGTATGGTTTGTCTCGTTGGTAATATAAACCCAGTATGCTTGAAACAAATGATTCATATGGCAGAGGCTGAGATTGGTGTTCTGGACTTAACTGGCTGGATTAAGCACGAACTAGGGCCAATAAGGACTCTTGACTGCTCATATACGTTGACGCGTCATTCATCCGATCGATAATTCACTACTCCCTAATTGGCGCTATTATTACGTATACATTAGCAGGGCACTCAGGCCAAAATTTATAACAATTACGTTATGAGTTTAGGGGTTGTGGAAATTTTTAAGTTTTTGATTGAGATCATGAACTGATTGATCTTAGATCATCATTGAAAACCTGGAAGCACTGGACCAGTGGAGCTATCCCGTGTCGGGTAGAAACAGGTGTCTACTTCAGTATAATGGAAGATGGTCGTGCAACTTGGTGGATTAGTTGAGGTTAGACATTAACACTATTGGATGCCAGCTCAGTGGTCCAGTAGGTTAAGCGTTCGCACACGAGACTGAAGGCCCTGGGTTGGAGTCCTGCGAGTGGGATTGTGAATGCGCACTGCCTGGAGATTCCCATCGTAGGATGAAACAGCTATCCAGTGCTCTGAGATTTTCCATGGTGGTCTAGCATCAATTGAGTCATGATCTTAATCAATTACTTGATGGACTGATGCCACGTTTTGATTTGACCTCCCCTAACTTTCTTCTAACCACCACCATTCAAACACTATAGTTTCACTTTATAAACTAGATTAAAATTATAGTCAATAATCCTATTAAAATAATTAATACACCAACCTAATGACATAACAATTTATTCATCTTTTAATCATATTACCGAACAAACATTCAAATTGTATCAATGAACAAATGAAAACAAACAAACAAACGAAAACAAAATACACAACTCAGAAACACTTTGACATAACAAATAAATAAATAAACAAAAGTATTTTAATCAAAATATACAAACATAGATGATGTAACTTACTGAGATAAAGTGAAATCTTGAGTGAATACCATTAATAATAATAATAATAATAATCAACAAGTTACTAATAGGATCTACTCTTTACTCTAAATTATGTAAATAAGATTCAAAGAATAGAAATCAATCTGCCAACATGCCAGTGAGAACGAAATGATGATAAGAGGAAAAGGGGGGGGTCTATGATAATTGGAGTGAATGAGTGAATGATTATAAGTAAACAAGTACACAAGAAACTTTGTATCATTATTCAATACATATTGGAAGCAGTTTGATGTTGTTGTTGTTGTTGTTGTTGTTGTTGATATAAGTCCAATATAATTATACATTGAAAATTGAATTCTTTAAAACTGTGAAATATAAAAATAAAACAGAAAAGAAGTAAATTGTGAATAATAAAACAACTAATTTATTGACATATTAGTACTGCTCTCTTGATGATAAAAGATTTATGGATTGATAAATACTTTATTATATATAATACTGAACAATTGTTTAGTTCTAGTATGAAATTCCTAAGCATTAAACATAAAGTAAAGTAAAAACATAGTCAATAAAAGAGAGCACAGAGAATGCCAACTTGCGTCATTTATAGTGTAGGCGAGATATCCGTCTATCAACCCAAGGACGTGTTTACTGCGCAGCAGTTCGTTCCGTCCTAATTTATGGCAGTGAAACATGGCCGGTAAGAGTAGAGGATATTCGTAGGTTACTAGTATTTGATCATAGATGTCTTCGAAACATTGCTCGTATATCCTGGGATCACCGAGTAAGCAACTCAGTTGTTAGGAAACGGGTACTAGGTAAGGATGGCAAATCAATTGATGATGTAGTGAAACTTCATCAGTTGAGATGGCTGGGACATGTAGTGCGCATGCCCGACCACTGACTGCCACGACGTGTGATGTTTTATGGTGTAGGAGTAGGTTGGAAGAAAGCTATGGGTGGCCAGACCAAAACATGGCACAAATCCATGAAGTCACTGACAAGTGGTCTGAGTCATGTTGGTAGATGTAGACTACCTGCTTGGGGACCGCGAGATGGCAGCAACCGATGGTTAGAGACCTTGAATGACATGGCTCAAAATCGTTTGCAATGGCGCAGGTACATCCACTCTTTGTGTTCTCTCAAACTCTAATCTTCTGAATTCTTCATGTCATTTATTTTCTTTCCAAATATATTCCACTGGACTATACTCCTTAAATAACATCACCAAACCTTAATGTCCCCTATCTCTACTTATACTTTCACTACCTCTACCACTATGGGATTTGAATCGATAACTGAATCTCAGTACTAATGTGGTATGGCAAGTCGAACTGATGTACGTACGTACGAAGTTCCACGTTGTTACTGACTGACTGATTGAACTGTAAATAAAAAGCCTCTGTATATACGCTTACAATTCAGAGGTGATGCACCGGGTGAAATGCTAAGACTCAAGTTAGGCAGATAAATTCAAAGGACGTTTAATGCGGGTAAACTACAACTAATGTTCTCTACACGACAAATAATCACTATGAGGCTGAAAGATAAATTACCTAGACTAACCACTTTCTTCTGTATCTATCAATTCAACTGGAGCAAGTTATATTGGCATATGTTCTAGAAATTTGTACATTCGGGCTCGTGAGCATCTCCCTGTGTGGTTAAGCAAAGGTGTAGTCAAGACTGTTAACGGCTCCATCTTAGACGATCTAGTTCAGACAGGACATACAGCCAACATGGAGCAATCTTTTGCAATAATCTATCGTGTTAACAGCAGCCTACCTAATTCCGTCCGACTGCGAATCCTACAGACGGCTGAAGCAATTGATATTCGGATCAAAATGCCAAAGCTTTGTATCCAAAAGAAGTATATTCAGCCACTCCTTTTACCCTGGCCAACTACTTAATAATCAATTTTATAATATGGTGACGTAATTTGATGAATCTTCATTTTATGTCCCAAACTTATTATTATTATTACATTTGATAACCGTTTTGAGGAATTTATTCAATATCCACCCGTAAATCTACTATATCTGACCTAATTCATATTATTCCACATATTACGTAATTTCCGATTTTTATCCAAAAACTTTTTCTCTCATCCCATGTTGACTATATTTATTCTGATCATTATTTATCGCACAATTTCATTTCACTTATCAACTTTTTATTTATTTATTTATTTTAACACATAAGTATAGGTACAGGGAGGCACCAAATACATATGCCCCACACAAATCTCAATTGATTTGTGTGAGGGCTGTGATACTGCCCGGGTGCCCAAACCGAAGCAGGTGGTTTTCTTAGGGGGCCACACCCCGAGACTTCGTCGACCTGAACGTCTGATCCACAAGGCAGTGGAGCATCGTAAGGAGATACAGTCCCATGGTAGCCGGTGACCAACGATTGGTTCATACGCCATTTGTTCCTTCAGGATACTGGAGCCCATGTACACCATTGGTTTTGGATCCGGTTAGAGCGCCGGATATTCGCTTTTCGTCCTCTCATTTTCGTGAACAACACCCCCGCCACGAGAAGGCAGTGAGTAGGACTTCCCTGGTAGAGGCTATATACGCATGGCCATGTGAGAGCATTTCGAGAGGGAGAGCGGACTCTCCCCACTCTCGGCCGTACCAGGGCATTTAGTTTTGGAAACAGAAGCAAACACTTGCATACATATTTGGTTCTAGTTGCATCTTGTCGAATGAGGTATAAAGATAAATATAATATTTATAACGATTGAGAAAAAGGAAACTGAGTTTCTCAACCGTTCATATTGAAAGGAGCAAAAGTTTAGCTAAACACGATTATACAAATGTACGGAAATATACTTACCATGGTTGTCGATATTACAGATAAAGAGTGATATATATATTTAGAAGGGAAGAGGCGCAGTCAAATAGAATTCAATTTAATCAGACCAACTGAGACTAGACAATGAACTCCAACTGCCCCATCGCGGACCCATAAATCCACCACCCCAGCCACCAAATAGACGACTTGCCAAATAACCACCAGCTACTCCTGATGCGAGACCTACACATACATAAATAAGAATAACGTGTAAATTATTCAGTAAAAATTTAGTTGGCTTATTTGTGTCCTAAAAGACGGGGTGTGGCCCCCTAAGAAAACCACCTGCTTCGGTTTGGGCACCCGAGCAGTATCACAGCCCTCACACATATCAAACGAGATATGTGTGGTGCATATGTATTCGGTGCCTCCTTGTACCTATACCTATGTGTTAAAATAAATCAATAATAAATGTCTTAAAAGAAAGGTTCTTCATAAATATATTTGTTGGAACTTTTACGTGAAGTGAATATTGAGATCAAACCGACTTATTATTATGAGGCAATCAGAAAAGCGACTCCATTTAGTCAATCAGAAAACACCATATATGTACCTAAAATCGTTATTCGGAAACATAAATCTTATTGCTGACCTTAAGCTTATCATTAACGTTCAAAGACAACATTCTATTAAGACAGATGCGCTTCAAACTTGAAACAACTTCCTTGATGCACCCTTCTAAGTTAGCTTTACCATAATTCACAAAACTTTCGAAATAAACATAACTAACAATGGATCATACTTTTATTTTTCTTAGTAAAATTCATTCTGACCAAAGGTATTCGACTTGACATAACCGTAGTCGTTACCTTGACGTGGGCTTATCTATTGTGATGAACCATTCGACCTATACTTTCTTCAAATCCTACCATATTTATTAAGTCATTTGGAGAACTATAAGACTAAAATTAACAAACTTGTGGGTGAAGTCGTACTGTCAAATACTGTAAAGGGGTGTAACAACAATAAGGTTCTTCTCTCAAACAATTACCATACATTGTGATACTGCTTTCTTATAAAGGAAAGAAGGTTAGGAAAGGACGGTCTAGAAAATATCAAACCTCAACCATATTAATTTCCGTCTCTGGTAGTAAGACGGACAACTGTGGGACAAGGTGAGTTGTGACACCTTTAGGGGCGGTCTTTTCTAACCCCTTCCTTTATTGTGAGAAGGCGGGAATGTGCACTAACCAACAAATTAGAATAAGATGACAATAATAAGATGAATATCAAATGAGATCTAAATAATATGTAGACAATGGTAATGAGAACGACTAAAGATTGGGATTATAGTCCAAGAAGATAAAATAAAAAAAATATGCATGAAGGGAGATTAGAAATAAAGATCTAAATTAAGATGAATGGATTTGAGCGATTATGACAAATCCTGAGTGAGATCATACAAAATCTGTAAACACTGATCCCAGTTACTTCATGGACAAAAACGAGGTAGTTTTCATCTACTAACACGAATTAGACCAACAGTCAACAACTTGGTTTGGTCACTGTTAACTGTCTTACAATCTACTACTACAGATACTAACACTAGACATGTCAAACAACCACCTCAATTGATGAAGACGCATAACCACATAAACTGATCTAGTTGCATTTATTCCTTATTATATCTCTTAAATTCATACAGTTCTGTGCTTTATTCAAATATATATTCTTTTAGTCATAATATTATTTAGTCGAAATGCTCTCACATGGCCACGTGCATAAAACCACTGACGGGGAAGTCCTAATCACTGCCTTCTCGCGAAAGGGATGTTGATTACGAAATTGAGGGGACGAAAAGCGAATGTCCGGCGCTCTAGCCAGGTTGGTGGATATGGAGAATCCACATTGGCGAGTTGGAAAACCCTGATTCCAAACCGATGGTACACATTAGCTTCAGGACCCTGAAGGAACAAATGGCATATGAACCAATAGTTGACCACTGGCTACCATGGGGTTGCATCTCCTGACGTTGCTCCACTGCCTTGTGGAGTAGATCTTTAGATTAAAAGCCCCAGGTATCCCCCCCTTAAGAAAACCACTTGCTTCATTTTGGCACTCGGACAGTTTTCTAGCTCTCACATAAATTGAATGATTTATGTGCAACATATCTATTTGGTGCCTCCTTGTATCAATGTTTATTTGTTTAAATAAAATAAAATAGTCATAAGTTAATGCTCCTATAGTATTGATATCAGTTGGAGAACAAGAGAATAGATAGCTGTTATGTAACTGGGTGATTACATAACACATAATAATGAGATTAATAGATATTTTATAAATAAAATTGTGCCCCCAAATGCCCTGGTACGGCCGAGAGTGGGATGAGTCCACTCTCCCTCTCGAAATGTTCTCACATCTCCACGTGCATACAACCACTGATAGGGAAGTCTTACTCACTGCCTTCTAACACCACGGGTTTTGTTTATGAAAATGAGAGGACGAAAAGCGAATGTCCGGCGCTTTAACCGGATCCCAAACCAATGGTACATATGGGCTAGTTCCAGTATCCTGAAGGAACAAATGCCACATGAACCAATCGTTGGTCACCGACTACCATGGGAGTGCATCTCCTTACGACGCTCCACTGCCTTATGGATCGGACCTTTAGGTCGAAGGCTCAGGGTGTGGTCCCCTAAGAAAAGCACCTGCTTCGGTTTTGGCACCCAGGCAGTATCACAGCCCTCACACATATCAAATGAGATCTGTGTGGCGCATATGTATTTGGTGCCTCTTAGTACCAATATCTATGTGTTAAAATAAAATAAAAATAATAATAAAATAAAATTGCATTGTATTATGATTTTCTGACTAATTTAGATGTTTAAAAATTATGTATTAATACTGTATTGTATTTGATAATGTAATATGAATCAAGACGGTTGTCATTCTTTAGAACAATTAAATCAGTCAGCTTCAGAATGTATGATCAAAAACTTTCAACCTACGCATGTCTTATACTTTCATTACTTATTTATTTAGACGCATAAGCAGTGGTACAAAGAGGCACCAAATAGATATGCACCACACTTCATCATTCGAATTGTGTGAAGACTGTAATACTGTGCGGGTGCCTAAACCAAAGTGGGTGCTTTTCTTAGGAAGCTACTTCTCGAACCTTTGACCTAGAGGTTTAATCCACAAGGCAGTGGAGCAACATTAGGAAATGTAGTCCCATGATAGTCGATGACCAACAATAGGTTGATACACCATTTGTTCCTTTAGGATCCTGGAGTGCATATGCACCATTGGTTTGGAATCAGGGTTTCCCAACTCCCCTAGGTGAACTGTCCGTGTCCACCAAACCGGTTAAAGCACAAGACATTCGATTTTCGTCCCTCAAATTTAGTAAAGAACACCCTTTTGGAGAGAAAGCAGTGATTAGGACTTCCCTATCAGTGGTTGTATACACGTGACCATGTGAGAGCATTTCGAGAGGAAGGGCTGACTCTCCCCACTCTCGGCCGTACCATGACATTTAGGGGCTAAACTCCAATGGCAAGAGTTAGGCGAGTGTATATAGAAAGGGTATGTATTTATTCGAATAAAAATACAAAGAGGAATGTAACAGTAGCAACCAACCAATATATCGGATAAACAAAATAGGAACACAAATATAGCAAACAAGTTACGACTTCAAATACAATATTGATAAAATTTACACTGTAATAATATGCTATGCTAATTTACTAAATAAGCAAAGGAATAAAAATAGTTGAAAGTGTTGAATAAACTAGACACATTCATGGAACACTAAAAACGTGACAAACAGTTTCAACCGGTATTATTTGTATTGAAAGATTAAGGTGTACCATGTTATTATTAATTCTGTAAATAAATAATTGTTGAAATCACGAGTCAATTGAAGCTAGACCACCATGGAAAATGTGGAAGCACTGGACGGCCGTTTTGTCCTAGTATGGGACTCCTCAGCAGTGCGCATCCACGATCCCGCAAAAGATTCGAACCCAGGACCTATCAATCTCGCGCGCAAGCGCTTCAAATGACTCATGATTTCAACTACTGAAATTTCTAAAAACTCCACAAAATGTCTTCTGATAATAATCATCTGCTCACCAGTGACTCACTTCAAGAGGCATTTCTTGAAGTTCTAGTGAGAAGCCGTTAACCAGTGGAGTTCAACCAGGTCTCTTGTGAAATATCAACTCACTGAAGACAATGATGTACGGTGATGCAATTTCGTGGATTAGTTGAAGTCAGACATTAACACCGTTGGATGCTGGTGAGCTCACTGGTCAAATAGTTAAGCGCTCGCGCGTGAGATTGATAGGTCCTGGGTTCGAATCTTGAGGGAGGCGGGGTCGTGGATGCGCACTGCTACTGAGGAGTCCCTTACTAGGACGAACAGGTCGTCCAATGCTTCCAGGTTTTCCATAGTGTTCTAGTTTTAATTGACTCATGATTTCAACTATTGAAATTTCTGAAAATCTCCCCAAAACCCTTTCTGTAAACAAATAATTGTTTACTATAGAATTTATAGTTGAAATGATCTAGTTGTTTTGACCATATATTGACCTTGAATTGTATTGGTTATTTTTTTGGCGATAAAACTAATCGATTCTTTTATGATGAAAGAAACAATTGACTTTTACTTAGAAATTATCATATGAAGTACAAAACGTGATAGGATTTGTAGGATATTATGATCATTGAAAATTTAATGAGAGATAACTTGAAACCCATTGGTATTATTCAATAAAAGCTATTCTTCGTTTTATTTTACAGAATATAGATGTTCATAGTTGAAATCATGAGTCAATTGAAGCTAGACCACTATGAAAAACCTGAAAGCACTGGACGGCCATTTTGTCCTAATATGGGACACCTCCACTGTTGGATGCCGGCTCAGTGGTCTAATGGTTAAGCGCTCGCGCGCGGGACTGATAGGTCCTGGGTTGGAATCTCGCGGCAGGAGGGGGCAGGATCGTGAATGCGCACTACTGAGGAGTCCCATACTAGGACTAAACGGCCGTCCAGTGCTTTCAGGTTTTTTATGGTGGTCTAGCTTAAATTGACTGATGATTTCAAGTATTGAAATTATGGTATAAGTTTAAATAGACATATATGGTGACGAAGATCTGTAAGTTGAAAGTTGTGTTTTTTTCAATCTGGATGATTTTCCAAGAGTAATTAACTATATAAACCTAGTGAAGGAGCTTTAC